GTTGTGGAGGTTAGGTTTCGGTCCGAAGCCGCTGCGGCAGCAGAAACTCGCACAGGCCGCAAAACTTGGCATTACGGACATGCCGACTGGGAGGGGCTCAGAGACTTCTTCTCTAGCTTTCCTTGGAGAGATGTCTGTTTCACTGACGCGGATGCGTCGACTGTCTGTTCTTCAATAACCGAAATTATCCACGTCGGAATGGAGGAATACATCCCTCACACAGTGAAAGTTCCTAAACCAGGGTCCAACGGCTGGTTCAACAAATCGTGTGACACTGCTCGCCAGCAGAAGATCAAGGCCCACAGAACCTACTTACAAAACCCCACTGTAGAGAACAGACAAGCCGACGTCGAGTCCAGAAACAAATATAACGAAGCGGTTCGCAATGCCAAAAACCAGCATGATATAAAAGTTAGGCACAGGGTAATGTCGCAGCGCAATGGCAGTCGGTCTTTCTGGACGCTGGCCAAGCAGATTGAAAAGAACTTCTCACACAGTAGCCTTCCACCACTTACGTGTCAGGATGGAACTATCGTATTCGACTCAAAGGCCAAGGCGGAAGTGCTAGCCAATATCTTTGCTGCCAACTCCACCATGGACGTCCCCACCAGCGCCCAAGTGCCGTCAATTCAAAGGGTTCCCCACACTATGCGGGAGGTAACATTCAGGCATAAGACCGTAAGACGAGTGCTCTTGTCGCTCGACATCAACAAAGCTTCTGGTCCGGACTTGATTCCTGCCATTGTACTGAAGAGATGTGCAGCGGAGCTTGCTCCAGTTATTTCGCGTCTCTTCCAGATATCTTATGAATCCGGCACCTTCCCAGAAAACTGGAAATTTGCTCATGTACAGCCCATCCCAAAAAAAGGATCTAAAACCGACCCTTACAACTACAGGCCTATAGCTCTGCTTTCTGTTATAAGTAAAGTGATGGAGAGGTGCATAAATCGCGAGCTTCTGGACTACCTCGAGCGTCACAGCTTGATTAGCGACAGGCAGTACGGTTTCCGGCACCAACGATCCACAGGGGACCTCCTAGCTTACGTCACGCAACTGTGGAGTAAACTCATCCAGTCTCATGGTGAGGCTCATGTCGTTGCTCTTGACATCACGAAAGCGTTCGATCAGCTGTGGCACGCTGCCCTCTTAAGCAAACTTCCATCCTACGGCCTCCCAGAAAAGCTTTGCAGATGGGTGGCTGACTTTATCTCTGGCCGCAAGATATCCGTCGTAATTGACGGATTCTCCTCTTCATCCCACAACGTCAACGCGGGTGTTCCCCAGAGATCGGTCTTGGCTCCAACACTGTTTCTCTTACATATCAACGACCTCCTTTCCTGCACGATCAACCCAATCCACAGCTTCGCTGATGACAGCACTCTACATGCAGGAATTCAGAGTGACAAGCCGATCTTTGCCGCTGAGCTGGAAAAAAGAAGACTAGCGACGACTTCTTCTCTGACAAGAGACCTGGAGGCTATCACTGCTTGGGGACGCAACAATCTTGTACAGTTCAATGCTTCCAAAACACAGTACTGTACTTTGACGAACAAAAAGCGTCCTAGCGCTCATACAGTTTCGATGGACGGTCGAGTTCTACCAAAGAGCCATTCATTTCGGCTGGTCGGAGTCCAGATCACCGAGGACCTGATCTGGCACGAACACATCTCTTCAATAGCTGCAGCTGCTGGGAAAAAGCTAGGCTATTTGTTTAGGGTTAAGAAGTACTTTTCTCCGCATGACCTTCTCACTCTATACAAGGCCCAGATAAGGCCTAGCCTCGAGTATTGCTCACACATTTGGGGTGCTGCCGCCCCGACTACATTGTCCATGCTCGATGCTGTCCAGAGGAGGGCGGTCCGACTGATCGATGACTCTTCTCTAACAGACAGTCTCGGGACTATTTCGCACCGGCGGGCCGTCGGCGATCTAGCTCTTTTCTATCGCTACACCAACGGGCTTTGCTCCTCAGAGCTCTCTTCTATGATGCCGCCGCGCGATGTGCCTGCTAGACAGACCCGCCTGACTTCTTCGTCCCATCCTGACCGTGTCAAACTTCGTACATCCAGAACTGGCCGATACGACAGCTCCTTTGTCCCGAGGGTGTCTAGATTGTGGAACAATCTACGGGAGGAAGCTTTTCCCAGTTCTACTGACCTCGGGCAGTTCAAAAATCGTATTAACAAAGTTTCTTTGGGATCATCATAGCAGCCGTAGTGTTCCGGCATTTAGGCTTCTGCCTGCGCGGCTGTTTCGATATAAAAAAAAAAAAAACTGGTTTTGTCAACAAAACTATTATTGTAATTTTTTTTAGAGTTCCTATGTTACACAAATATCAAATCTGATCAATGTAATCTGTCGTTAATTTTCCTGTGCTTTCTCATAACAGTAATAATTATCGCCTCTAAGCAATCCATTTACGTTTTTAAATAGTCTTCAGGTATAACTAATGTTATTCCTGAGAACTTGCGCACATGCGCAAACATTCTTGGCACAGCCCCATAGTTACATGATCAAACGAACTTACCTGTAAGTGATGTCCGATCTTAATTATGTGAAGTCCTCGTCGAAGTAAATATTTAGAATACATAACGTAGTACCCTCGTAGCTCACCAAACCCACGAGTTCAAAGCGTGCATGTAGCGAAAGGAGCGACTTCACTACTCGTACTCGTATGCTTTGATGTAAATATCAATAGAAATAATGTTTGATAGCTAAATGCGATCGAGTAATTAAAAATATCAATGAATGTTGGTATTGCACTTTGTAAGTAATATATCGTTATAATATGATCGTTAGTTTCTCGGTCAATACCGCGAGCATTTTTTGCCCTCGATACTCCATTCAGATGGATAGAAAATGTAAGTGACTGCTTTTATAAGCGTCGTTTATATATTTTGTATATCGTGCTTTCAAAAAAAGTTGTAGGCGCATACTTAGCTGTGCAGTTAAAACTGGTGCTTTCTTATCTAGATTGCTTTAGCTATTAGTGTTATCCAAGGTCACATAATTTTCCGCGTTTGCATGAACGAAAAATATTTGTTTACGAACAACACATTCTATTTTCTTTATATTACCTAATATGAGTTCGACGTCAGTTCTGAAGGTTATCAGTAAGCCAAAACTTGAATATTTTCGGAGATTAAAGGACACTACACTTTTCTGTCGCAACTCTTCGTACTTGATGTTGAACAAACGCACAATATTTTCCTTGGCCAGCTAGGTTTTAGAATCATGTTGATTCTATCGAAGTTACCCAAGTGCTTGCTGCATTTCTTTGGATCATAGATTACTAAGATAATCTCTCACCAAACGTTTGTTGTTTATGCTATGCTTGTTGCTGTACATACTCAAAGAGGTTATACACTTTTATACAGGGTGACTTTGAAGTTGAGTCATTAATTTTCAGATAATGATTGTAGAAGGAAGATAAACCAAAATATGTGTGTAAAAATAAAAAAAAAAATAAAAAAAATGTTACCTTGTTTTATAAAGTATCCTCCCGACAAGTATTTCAGTGTGGACCTGTATTTGATTGTGCGGTCTTGGAGCACTGGCATGCCCTCCCCTGTGAGGTCTTAAGTCACCTGATTCACGAGCCCTTTGTACTACATTAACAAAGGCACGAGGGGTTGGTTGCACTCGATTGGGAAACCGATCCGCATAAATCCGTGATGCCGCGTAAATAAGAATCATGTCCACAAGTTCAGCATTTTCGTAAACATGTGCCATTTTTGATTTCGTTTCAGCCACGCAACAGACACCACTATTCACTCACGCGTTACCGACTGACACTGACTGTATACAACTGAATAAAATAATTGTAAAAACATCGTTCCAAATTCTTTCGCTTTTTTGTTTCCGATGCGATGAACCGATAAGGCGGATTATATCCGTTGTCGCCAAACACGAGCACATAATATTATTATTGAGACAGGGCGGTACTCAAACTTCCAAAGGGCTATAACTTTGTTACTTTAATTTTACCAGAAAAATGGTAAAGGAAAAAAACATTTCTTTTGATCAGATCTACTCATTGTTAAAATAAATGACTCAACTTCGAAGTCACCCTGTATACAAATGATTGACCACCAAAAGTTTTCCAATTTACACCACTTATCGGTCAAAATTGACGAAAACATCGACATACATGTGTGTCTTGTTTTCTATAATAGCTTTTTTCGTTAATTGCTTTCCGTCTAGATGGCGTAATTTTGCTTTTTCTGTCGATACGATCCTGTCATTCTTCAAAAACCACGAAATTTAAATTTTCTGTTTCCAGTTGGTTTGTTGTTTTTTGCTTGTTTTTTATTTCGTCTTTTTTTATCTATTGTGTGTTATACATATGACGTGTCCCTCTCTATACGTATGTATAATGTTCGAACCTGATAAAGGAATTTGAATTTGAATCTAGTTCTACTAGCCTTAGGCAGTTCAAAAACAAAGTTTCTTTAAGCTCCTAGAGAAAAAAAATCTCGTTCGGTCATTCTGCTTAGCTTGTTCTTGACTCATTGTACTTACAAGAAAACCTAAGCGCTCTAAACTAATATTATTCGAGCTGCGATAATAACACTATGTCGCTTAGAAGTAGTGAAATAGCAGCAGATATCTAATTAACGATATATATGTTTACGTTCAAATGTTTTGCACGATTAGTTGATAGCCACCGCTTCCCCATCGAGCGGCTTCAGCGCGTCCGCGAAACCGAACTCTCCGTTCCGCGGTCCCCGCTAATTGTGACAGATTAGCGGTCATATAATCGCACGTGCCTTGCATCGAAACAGATGAAAGATAATAATGCTGCTTGTGTCCTTTGGTGAATGCAGGTGCATCCTCATATTATCATCGGTGCGGATTATGCAACAGCGACAGTAGATTGTTCAGCGCCGGTTTCTAGTGCATCGTTGTCGTTTCGGTTGACTTTGAAACGTTCGTGATCGTCGATTGTTACGGGCTTGGCGCCGGCGTCTTGATTCGGAGACATTATTTCAACCTGTGTCATGTACAATGTAAAAAATTCAACCGATCGAAAGGGTCGCCCGTAGGGGTATTATGTAACTTTGAAAAGTGACTCTAGGTAAGAATTTTGTGACATTACGTTAGATTTCTTTGGTAATGTCATATTTTTCCTACTAAATGTCAACTTGACGTTCACTCTTCATGTCATCTCATGCTTTTGATTTATATCATCTGTTATATCAGCCTGACATTTCTTGCAAATCAAAAAGAAAACATCGCCTCACAATAGGAGAGCCCTGACAATAACACGGAACAGTAGAGATCTATAAATACCCCAGCCTTTCTGAAGGAACATAGTAAATGTTGGATGCATTGTTATGCATATCTAAACCGCAATCCACTGATGTCCATGTAATAAAAGATTGATTATGTCTAACAAAGGACGGATATTTGTAATCCAATAAAAGCTGGAGAAATTCCAAAAATTAGTACGGCCGACTTCTTTAAGTAGGTCTTTCCTTGCAGAAGTGTAATAGGAAATACAATATTAGATAAAATCATTCACAGGTTATGACGCATGAGCTTAGTTTTACTTATTCTTTTTTTTTATGTTTATCATTATATTAGATGGACTGTACTTGCATAGAGTCCTGATATCTCTCAGCTCGGGTGTCCGCAAAGTTGGGGTTTTCCTTTACACGACTTGTAGATATTGAGAAAATAAGCGGATTTTCTTAGTAGCATATACACAAATGTCTTAAAGGCTCCGAAAACTCGATCAAACCTGACCCAAACCGAAGCCGGTCCTGTCGTATTTCTCGATCACGTCCACAGCGTCAGCGTACAGTTATACGACGTACGACTACAATGTAAATACAGAGCCGTACTTGGAATTTCAATTCAACTGAACAGCGAGTACTTTTTCATTTATTCCTTTTTACTTTCACCGCACATCAGCTTTGTTATATCAAGCGTAGTTGTGACTAAAAAGGAAAACGCCAACTTTGCGGAAATCTGCGTTGAAGGTCAAAAAAAAGTTTCGTTAAATTTGTGCCTTCTGCTTTTACGAATCCGTAATTTCTTTTAATAAAACGAGAAAACCATAACTGTTTACGTTGATTAGTTAGTTTTTTTTAGAAATGTCTAAGGAAGACAGCGTTAGTCCACGAGTGACATACGGATGACGTTTCTTTGTTTTTAAATTGTATGACGTCACAGCATCGCTGATAGTGTTCTCACCGTTTCGTATTAAAAAAAAATACGTTTTTTTTTAAATGGACTTACGGCCTTGCGTTTAAAAAATTGAAATCGACATCCTTCGTTTTCCTAAGCCAAATAACGTAAGAAATACGCATTTATTCTGTGAAATTAGGTATGATTCAAGTGACCGATTGTAATGATTTGGGCATCTTCAGCTTTAGAACGCCACAGTAAAACGCATTTCAGGGCGACCGCAATAATAACTCCACGTGGAACTCTCACAGTTGGGTAATATTACCGTCAAAATATACTAAGTGACATATAAATCCGAACACCCAGTTTAAATGGTTTTATTTTAATAAAAGTTGGTGAATGTATTTATCTTACTGTAAATAACAAGCGAAAAAATGTTCAGCCTTATCAGTTGGACATTCCGGTTTTTATACTGCTTTTTTTTAATTCACTAACGCTCTAAAAATGAATATTTCAGCCGCAGTAAAGAATCAACGTTGGCGGATTTTGGTTCTTGACATCCTTTACGATCGGTTGCGATGCCTAGAGTACGGAGACCTGTACGATTTCGTCAACTTAGTGAGTTTGATAGGGGCCGTATAGTGGGACTTCGGGAAGCTGGACTTTCTTTTCGGGCAATTGCAGTTAGAGTGCAAAGAAGTGTAGACACTGTGGTTAGGTGTTGTCAGGCATGGCTTCGAGAAGGCCGTACGCAAAGAGCAAGGGGCACTGGACGCCGCCGTAGAACAACAGACCGTGAAGATCGCCGCCTAAGATTATTGGCCTTAAGGGACCGTTTCTCCACTACCAGGTCCATTGCAAATGAGTGGTTTGCAGAACACGGAAGACCTATTGGCATGCGAAGTGTTTACCGACGAATGAGAAGTTTTGGCTTGTTTTCATATGGGCCACACTGGGTCCTCCCTTTAACTCGAGAACACCGACGTAATCGCCTTGAGTGGTGCAGACAACGGTCACTCTGGGATCAGGAATGGAACAGTATTGTCTTTAGTGACGAGTCTCGATTTTGTTTAGGCATGCACGATGGTCGTGCCAGGGTTAGAAGGCGACGTGGTGAAAGGAGGAATCCACAGTTTTTTGTTGAAAGACATGTTCATCACACTGTTGGAGTTATGGTTTGAGGTGCTATAGCTTATGGTTCCAGGTCACCTTTAATCTTCATCAGAGGTATCCACGAAGTTCTAGAACCCCATCTTTTACCCTATCTTGACACCCTGGCAGATCCAGTTTTCCAACAAGATAATGCCCGACCACATGTTGCAAGAGTCACAATAGACTTCTTTCAACATAATGATGTCACATTGTTACCATGGCCACCAAGATCTCCCGACTTATCCCGAATTGAGCACGTGTGGGATATGATGGGTAGGAGATTGCTCAATTTGCAACGTCCTCCTCAGACTCTAGAAGCACTTCGAGAGGAGTTGGTGATTGCCTGGAATGAGATACCACAGGGGGGCATTGACCACCTGACCAGAAGCATGCCTAGGCGCGTTGGAGAATGCGTAGCACATCAGGGTGCATCCACACATTATTAAAGGTCAAAGGGCTTTGAAGCAGTGCAATCATTTTGAAATTTTTATCATTTACTTATTATGCTTCATTAAGTACTTATACAAAATTTTATTAAAATAAAACGATTTAAACTGGGTGTTCGGATTTAGATGTCACTTAGTATAACTAAGTTTGTCTACAGTTTTATAACGAATTGAACCACATTGTGAAGCATATTGGATTTTTAATGTTCTTCATCCAGGTGTACTTCTTTCTCAATTGTACTGTTTGCCCAATCTGTTACCATGTAAGCGAAATACAAAACTACATAGCAAGGATTCCGCGGATGCATAACTATATAATTTATTTATTTTTGCACCAACTACATTTTTCTGCAATTTGAATATGTTTTTATTGCATTTTAATATGGTAATAAAAAGTATCATAAGTTTGTTGACGTAAATGAACAATTTAATCATAAATATGAATAGCAAATAAGACGATGGTAACACTTACATTGTCATTGAGATTTTTCAAAAAAATTGAGACTTCGAAAAACGGTGTCTCTAATAGGGTGGTTGTATGTTGAAATATAAGATGAAATAAGCTGTGTATAAGGCATTAATGATATTATTTTTCATTTGAAGACATATTTTTCGAAAATTTTGACTTTCATCGAGTTGTAGGTCATGTCGTTTTCTCAATTTTTTGCAGAATAATTCCCGAGGAACTTGCAGATAAAATCTAACGCTCTGTTGCGATGTATACTAAGTGACATATAAATCCGAACACCCAGTTTAAATGGTTTTATTTTAATAAAAGTTGGTGAATGTATTTATCTTACTGTAAATAACAAGTGAAAAAATGTTCAGCCTTATCAGTTGGACATTCCGGTTTTTATACTGCTTTTTTTAATTCACTAACGCTCTAAAAATGAATATTTCAGCCGCAGTAAAGAATCAACGTTGGCGGATTTTGGTTCTTGACATCCTTTACGATCGGTTACGATGCCTAGAGTACGGAGACCTGTACGATTTCGTCAACTTAGTGAGTTTGATAGGGGCCGTATAGTGGGACTTCGGGAAGCTGGACTTTCTTTTCGGGCAATTTCAGTTAGAGTGCAAAGAAGTGTAGACACTGTGGTTAGGTGTTGTCAGGCATGGCTTCGAGAAGGCCGTACGCAAAGAGCAAGGGGCACTGTATGCCGCCGTAGAACAACAGACCGTGAAGATCGCCGCCTAAGATTATTGGCCTTAAGGGACCGTTTCTCCACTACCAGGTCCATTGCAAATGAATGGTTTGCAGAACACGGAAGACCTATTGGCATGCGAATTGTTTACCGACGAATGAGAAGTTTTGGCTTGTTTTCATACCGGCCACACTGGGTCCTCCCTTTAATTCGAGAACACCGACGTAATCGCCTTGAGTGGTGCAGACAACGGTCACTCTGGGATCAGGAATGGAACAGTATTGTCTTTAGTGACGAGTCTTGATTTTGTTTAGGCATGCACGATGGTCGTGCCAGGGTTAGAAGGCGACGTGATGAAAGGGGGAATCCACAGTTTTTTGTTGAAAGACATGTTCATCACACTGTTGGAGTTATGGTTTGGGGTGCTATAGCTTATGGTTCCAGGTCACCTTTAATCTTCATCAGAGGTAACATGAACGCGCAGTGTTATATCCACGAAGTTCTAGAACCCCATCTTTTACCCTATCTTGACACCATGGCAGATCCAACTTTCCAACAAGATAATGCCCGACCACATGTTGCAAGAGTCACAATAGACTTCTTTCAACATAATGATGTCACATTGTTACCATGGCCACCAAGATCTCCCGACTTATCCCCAATTGAGCACGTGTGGGATATGATGGGTGGGAGATTGCTCAATTTGCAACGTCCTCCTCAGACTCTAGAAGCACTTCGAGAGGAGTTGGTGGTTGCCTGGAATGAGATACCACAGGAGCACATCAGGGTGCATCCACACATTATTAAAGGTCAAAGGGCTTTGAAGCAGTGCAATCATTTTGAAATTTTTATCATTTACTTATTATGCTTCATTAAGTACTTATACAAAATTTTATTAAAATAAAACGATTTAAACTGGGTGTTCGGATTTAGATGTCACTTAGTATAACTAAGTTTGTCTACAGTTTTATAACGAATTGAACCACATTGTGAAGCATATTGGATTTTTAATGTTCTTCATCCAGGTGTACTTCTTTCTCAATTGTACTATTTGCCCAATCTGTTACCATGTAAGCGAAATACAAAACTACATAGCAAGGATTCCGCGGATGCATAACTATATAATTTATTTATTTTTGCACCAACTACATTTTTCTGCAATTTGAATATGTTTTTATTGCATTTTAATATGGTAATAAAAAGTATCATAGGTTTGTTGACGTAAATGAACAATTTAATCATAAATATGAATAGCAAATAAGACGATGTTAGGTAACACTTACATTGTCATTGAGATTTTTCAAAAAAATTGAGACTTCGAAAAACGGTGTCTCTAATAGGGTGGTTGTATGTTGAAATATTAGATGAAATAAGCTGTGTATAAGGTATTAATGATATTATTTTTCATTTGAAGACATATTTTTCGAAAATTTTGGCTTTCATCGAGTTGTAGGTCATGCCATTTTTTGCAGAATAATTCCCGAGGAACTTGCAGATAAAATCTAACGCCCCGTTGCGATGTATTTCTGATTGATCTGATTTTTGAATATCGCCAAAAATGAAACAATACTATTTTTGCGTATTTCATGCATCATTAAAAAATAGGTGGAATGAACTGTCAACATTATTACAATCCACTTTTAGCGCTCGTATCTAATCGGTGATACGGCACCGAAAAAAATCTCGAATAAAATCAACATAATTTACTCGCATTATATCCTTATTATTGTAGCCTAGTGCGTAAGCTTTATTTTTGCATATTGTATAAGTTGAATTTTTTCCCTGGTACCACAAATATTTACGGTATTGTGTAGTAATTCACGGTGAAACAGCAATAAATCATTCTCTCTACAGTTGCTGTATTTTTGAATAAACGATTAGTGCATCATGTGATTTTGTCCCGATAAGGTAGCGAGAGTTAGTTTTTGGTGTTTTGCGTCTCTGATTCGGAGTGTTTTAGCTTTTGTTTGGTGTAAGTTCGTGGATTTGTCGTTTGACAGTGTTGCCAAAAGTGTAACCACAAACCTTGAAATTTGGATCGGTCGATATCGGCAAAATCGGTTTATTTTGCCTTTCTAACGAGTAGTACCGAGCGGTAAGAGATACGAAGAGGCAGTTAAATGGGCTTAAAGTTGGTAAATCAGAATTTCAGGAGATAGATTTGAGATGGGATGGGACATAAATATTGTTAGTATTTCTCCTCTACAAGCTGGCATATTTTTTCTCATAGACGCCATGTTGGATTTTTGCACAGGTAATTGGAATTTTTAATTGATTTAAAAAATGTATATCATGTCATATATTGACTTTGTCGAACCCGAGTTATTTTGAAAAAACTGACATCGCCGAAGTTGGCTTTGAAAATGACGTTCGTCACATGTTTATCCGTTTAAATCACCAATGCTTGAATTTCTGATAAGCGTGTTTAAAGAACAATCAGATAATTTGCCCATTTATCGACTATGCAAATCGTTATTTTAGCGCTCTACATGACACTGTAGATTAATATTATTTGATATTTGAATGCAAGAACCGATGCTATATACTAAGTGACATATAAATCCGAACACCCGGTTTAAATGGTTTTATTTTAATAAAATTTTGTATAAGTACTTAATGAAGCATAATAAGTAAATGATAAAAATTTCAAAATGATTCCACTGCTTTAAAGCCCTTTGACCGTTAATAATGTGTGGATGCACCCTGATGTGCTACGCATTCTCCAACGCGCCTAGGCATGCTTCTGATCAGGTGGTCAATGTCCTCCTGTGGTATCTCATTCCAGGCAACCATAACTCCTCTCGAAGTGTTTCTAGAGTCTGAGGAGGACGTTGCAAATTGAGCAATCTCCTACCCATCATATCCCACACGTGCTCAATTGGGGATAAGTCGGGAGATCTTGGTGGCCATGGTAACAATGTGACATCATTATGTTGAAAGAAGTCTATTGTGACTCTTGCAACATGTGGTCGGGCATTATCTTGTTGGAAAGTTGGATCTGCCAGGGTGTCAAGATAGGGTAAAAGATGGGGTTCTAGAACTTCGTGGATATAACGCTGCGCGTTCATGTTACCTCTGACGAAGATTAAAGGTGACCTGGAACCATAAGCTATAGCACCCCAAACCATAACTCCAACAGTGTGATGAACATGTCTTTCAACAAAAAACTGTGGATTCCTCCTTTCACCACGTCGCCTTCTAACCCTGGCACGACCATCGTGCATGCCTAAACAAAATCGAGACTCGTCACTAAAGACAATACTGTTCCATTCCTGACCCCAGAGTGACCGTTGTCTCCACCACTCAAGGCGATTACGTCGGTGTTCTCGAATTAAAGGGAGGACCCAGTGTGGCCGGTATGAAAACAAGCCAAAACTTCTCATTCGTCGGTAAACAATTCGCATGCCAATAGGTCTTCCGTGTTCTGCAAACCATTCATTTGCAATGGACCTGGTAGTGGAGAAACGGTCCCTTAAGGCCAATAATCTTAGGCGGCGATCTTCACGGTCTGTTGTTCTACGGCGGCATACAGTGCCCCTTGCTCTTTGCGTACGGCCTTCTCGAAGCCATGCCTGACAACACCTAACCACAGTGTCTACACTTCTTTGCACTCTAACTGAAATTGCCCGAAAAGAAAGTCCAGCTTCCCGAAGTCCCACTATACGGCCCCTATCAAACTCACTAAGTTGACGAAATCGTACAGGTCTCCGTACTCTAGGCATCGTAACCGATCGTAAAGGATGTCAAGAACCAAAATCCGCCAACGTTGATTCTTTACTGCGGCTGAAATATTCATTTTTAGAGCGTTAGTGAATTAAAAAAAAGCAGTATAAAAACCGGAATGTCCAACTGATAAGGCTGAACATTATTTACAGTAAGATAAATACAGTCACCAACTTTTATTAAAATAAAACCATTTAAACTGGGTGTTCGGATTTATATATATATGTCACTTAGTATATGATTATGAAATGTGCTTAGGAAACTGCAACTTGGCCGAGGCTTTTGTAATGTTTCTACCAGTTACATACTCGTAAAATAATGTGTTTTCATTGTTTTCAATACGACCTTTAAATAGTATGAAAAAGTTTTAACATTAGGTTGTTCTTTATTCGATGAGTTAATAATAATAACCATAAGAAGATTACTTTTTTAGATAGCAATTCGTGTGATGATATACACGATATCCTATCATAAAAATGGAAAATAGGGCTGTTCACTTATGCACAGTTCATAAAAACTGAAGGAACGCTATGCTGTTTCAAGGCCTACGTAGGAAATTCTGTTATTTTGAAATAACTAAGGTTTGACAATGACAATGTATGACATATTATACACTTTTGTTATCAAAATGAAAGAGTCAATTTGCCTGAGCGAAAATCCAATATCGCGTCTATAAGAAAAAGTAACGATGACTGATAACAGTCATATTGAAATTCTAATTATGCCACCTTGTAGAGGAGAAACATTGACATTGTTAATGTACTTTGTTTTGAGATCCCATTCAGAATTAAGTCAGGAAAAAATAAATAATTTTCGGTCTATGCCCGAAAATACTCGGACTGAGGAACTTTCTAAGTGCCATTTTATTAGTTAGCTGAAAGCGCAATTTTGCCTTCATTTAATGGCCGTCGTATCTCCTACTGTTACCGAATCGTGAGAGTCGAATTTGAAACATCCGGAATAGGCCGACCGATATAAAATATAAAGTTTAATGTTACTGAATTGAAAAAAAGTACAACAAAATAATAGAAATATAGTTTAAGTAACCTTTTTCATTGCGTGTAAAATAAAACGAAACTCCACACCGATTTTCAGTCTTCTGTTTCATTTGAATGCATTTTGGTATAGGTACTCTGTGCTATTTAGAAACGCGGTACTTCATATTTGATGCTATCACTATTCTCCAAAATATTTTTTGAGGTAAAAGTATTGTTTCTGAACAAACAGGCGAAGCTCATTGAAAAACGGCAAAACAAAAAATAATTGAATTTCATGTTCCTATTATTTTATGTTTACAACTCACAAGCTCATCGCTAGTTACTTTTTTTACTTTTGTAACGGCATGGTAACTAATGTTTTTTTTGTGCTTAAACATCCTTAGTGCTCGAAATTCGAAAATGTCATACTGCATACTGATTGACTAGTTTACAGATGTTACAAAAAGTTCCTTTACCTTTTAATTTATACCACTCGTAAATTGTCTATAATTTGCTAATTAATTTTGATGTTATCAGTTAGTGAACCTTTTTTATTGCTAAGATTGATCATACTTTGAACAACATTTTAGCACAATCAGTTAAATATCACATGATGGTGACCGCGATTTTTTAGTAATTTGTAGCAGTTCATATATTTTGCGTTGTAAGTTGTAATTTCTATCTATAACATGGGGGTCAAAACGGCTTTTTTTTTTTAGAGAAAAGCGACTTTAAAGTAAAATAAAATCGGTCAACGCCGCAATGCCAGACGCAAATTTACGACGGAACGCAGTGTAAATAAAGATGAAGTTTGTTACTTTTGGCTCTTAGGTATTATTTCATTATTTGATAATGTACTCGTAAAATGCCAACAATTAAACAAAAAAACGGACTTACCACTAACTGTATCAGCGTTTCACCTGGTGTGTAAAAGTTTATTGAACGTATTAAAAAAATCCACTTATAAATAGGGAACACAATTTTGATACATACATTGTTTTTCTTTCTAAAATCCACACTGCACTTTTTTTGTATTTAAAGAAGGTGTTCAAAATGTCGTCCTCCACTTAACACAAGCGTCATTACGACGAACCCAGTTTCTTCTTACTCTAGGTCCTCGAAGTTGTCCATTTATTATTTCAGCCGCATTCAAAATTTTTTCGCGCAGTTGTGCTACAGTTGTTATTAGACCAGCCTCATAAATCATCCCTTTAAGTTCTCCCCAATACCAGAAATCCCTCGGATTGAGGTCAGGAGGTCTTGCTGACCATTTTCGAGGATCATTTCAAACCATCCAGCAATTTGAATGATGTTCATTCAAATACGAATGACGCCTCTAAAAATGTGTGGTGGTGCCCCGTCATGAAGAAACCACAAATTCTGTCTCCGTTGTAATGGCATGTTGTCTAACGTCTGTTCCAAAAGTTCTGGTAGGTTATTGGCTAGAAAGCTAAGGTATCCTTCTCCTGACAACTTTGGGGGTAACTCGAAAGGGTCAATTACCTGATTGTCAAGAATACCCGCCCAAATATTTATTTTAGAACGTTGTTGGAAATGACCTTCATGAATGGTATGAGGATTTTCTTGGGCCCACGTGTGAGTATTATGGATAATTTAATATCCCGTCTCGCGTAAAAGTACATTCGTACGTCGCTAGAATGTTTTTAAAAAAATCCGGATTTTCGATGTTTTTGTGCAAAAGCCACTGACAGAATGTTAGTCTGCGTGGATAGTCTTCTGGCAACAAGGCCTGCACTCGTTGCACATGGTAGGGATAAAGCAAATTTTCCCGTTGGATTCCCGAGTGCTGATATCTGCATTGATTTCCACGACATTTAAAATTTGTTCCTCCTGCTCTACAGTAACCTGTCTTTCACGAGTGCGAATATTAGTGGTCTGAACACTTCCTGTATCTCGAAGTCTTTGGTATTCTTGCACAAATGTCCTTCTGTGTAAATTTGAGCTGCAAGATTTGAATTCTGACGAGCTTCACCGTAAACTAACAACATGTCGGCGAAGTCTTGATTCGAGAACATTGTAAATAAACACGACGTCGTACGCGAACAAAAACAAAACAACATACTAACCACTGTTACCGTTTGCGATCGATTGCCGGTCCGATAAGAGTGATGAATGACCGACGCGCTGTTGTCATGTGTGTTTTAAATAATTAATTTAATGAAACTTACTTACTGACTACAAATTTTGGCATAACTTAGAAAAACTTAATGCCATTTATTTGTTGATTACCCAATTTAAAAACGTTTTAAATTAGATTATAAAAATTAGTAAGATTGTGGTGATTGTGGTCGATATAAAGCACTTAAAGTTGTAAACTATAAAGCCATTTAGACAAAAATCGTTTACACCCTGTATTATACCAGGATTGTATTCTTGTTATACTACTTTGACTATCACAAGTTAAATGATAGGTATTGGTGAGCGAGCCCCGAGAATAACAACTCGACAGAAGCATTTCTATGTAATTTTCTGTGCAGAAGCTATATCTACTTTTAAAGTGGTACAATTCAAACGTCACTAAAAAGCTTGAAATCCAGATAACAGAAAGTAACTAGCGATAGCTGTCTTTTTCTTTTGATAGTCTAGCACCATACGGTTTCTTCATTCTAAATCGTTGAATTACCATCTATATTAATAGACAGTGCTTATCCAAAGATATAAAGGAGAGCTTAACGCGGCGACCATTTTGTAGAGTCACAGCGTGATCGTATTCGTTATCCAAACTGCCCGAATTTATTTAACGTGCCAACCATTGATTAACGTATTCTACCTGAAGATAACAAACTACATTCTGAATTCCGTTGTCCAAAAAGGGATCTGACCGATACTAGCGCCATCTACAGGGTGACTTTGAAGTTGAGTCATTAATTTTCAGATAATGATTGTAGAAGGAAGATAAACCAAAATATGTGTGTAAAAATAAAATAAAAATTTTACCTTGTTTTATAAAGTATCCTCCCGACAAGTATTTCAGTGCGGACCTGTATTTGATCGTGAGGTCTTGGAGCACCGGCATGCCGTCCATATGTGAGGTCTTAAGTCAAATGATTCACGAACCCGTTGTACTACATTAACAAAGGCACGAGGGGTTGGTTGCACTCGATTGGGAAACCGATCCGCATAAACATGTGCCATTTTTTATTTCGTTTGAGCCACGCAACAGACACCACTATCCACTACCGACTGACACTGACTGTATACAACTGAATGAAATAATTGTAAAAACATCGTTCCAAATTCTTTCGCTTTTTTGTTTCCGATGCGATGAACCGATAAGGCGAATTATATCCGTTGTCGCCAAACACGAGCACAATATTATTATTGAGACAGGGCGGTACTCAAACTTCCAAAGGGCTATAACTTTGTTACTTTAATTTTACCAGAAAAATGGTAAAGGAAAAAAACATTTCTTTTGATCAGATCTACTCACTGTTAAAATAAATGACTCAACTTCGAAGTCACCCTCCCTGTATGAGACAATAGCAGAATACAAAAATGATCTACTTTGAAAAGAGTTATAATGTTTGGTTCTGCCACTGTCTCATAGATGGCGCTGAGATTTTCAATCTCATTTTGGCACCTCTCTAAAATATTTTATTTCAAAGTTGTACAATTTGAATGTCACCAAAAATCTTGGTCAATCGTCTATATTAATAGCCAGTCCTTATTCAAAGATTTAAAGGCTTCATGGCTTCATCATATTCGTTATCTAAACGCTATATTCCGTAGCAACCGACGACATTTAGTTTCCGTATTACCATCGATACCTATTACATCTGAAGATAACCAACCATATTCTGTATTCCGGCGCCCAAAAAGGAATCTGAAAGAAACCAGCACCATCTGTGAAACACTAGGAGAATACAAAAAAGAATTTAGAAATCTACTTTGGCTTTGCCACTGCCTCATAGATGGCGCTGTAATTTTCAATCTCTTTTTGGCCCCAATTAAGACAGACGCCAAAGAGATAGTGAAGATCTATGAGGTAGTAGCAGAACAAACGGTCTGACTCTTGTCAAACTAGATTTCTAAATTAATTTCTGTGTTTTGCTACTGATTTATATGGACCATTTCCTGATAACAAAAAATTTCGGAAAGGTTAAATGAACCATAACTATACTTTTCCCGAATATGGACACGTATCGTTGAAGTGCACTTGTTCCGCGAGTGTGTGTGTGTAATTACCTACCGTATGAGGTTGAAAGGCCCTTCCGGATGAAGTGATGACGTACTTCCGGCGAGTATTTAGTCGAGGAAGGGACGATGATCCTCCTTCGCCGGCGCCCTTCGTGAAGCCGAGGAGCAACTCTTTGGATCCCAGGACTTTGGAGGCGAGCGGATTGAGAGCGTTTCAATATGCTTATAATAATGTAAGCATTTTTTGAATTCTAGGAGATTAGGATAGAATTCTCGGAGATTAAGAAGTACAATTCCACCAAATCAGCTAAACCACGGGTCAAAATGTTTTGCGTCAAGATATGCCGGTTGTTTCATATTCGACCGTCACGATTGCGATCTCGGAGATACGAAGTCGCTTAAGGTGGTTGGTCACGCTTATCTATGTTATTTGTCTGTAGCGACTGATTGGATTTTTGTGATGGTCTGTAGTGGTATATCCTTTAGTAACGCTGTTATTAGATTTTTTACACATTATTCAAATATTTACGAATTTTTTTTAATCTTATTTCCATACTTTCTCAAAAAATATCAATGCTAACAGATTAAAATTTCGTGTCCGCATTAAACAGAAGTATACTAAGTAACATATAAATCCGAACACCCAGTTTACATGGTTTTATTTTAATAAAATTTTGTATAAGTACTTAATGAAGCATAATAAGTAAATGATAAAAATTTCAAAATGATTGCACTGCTTTAAAGCCCTTTGACCTTTAATAATGTGTGAATGCACCCTGATGTGCTACGCATTCTTCAACGCGCCTAGGCATGCTTCTGATCAGGTGGTCAATGTCCTCCTGTGGTATCTCATTCCAGGCAACCACCAACTCCTCTCGAAGTGCTTCTGGAGTCTGAGGAGGACGTTGCAAATTGAGCAATCTCCTACCCATCATATCCCACACGTGCTCAATTGGGGATAAGTCGGGAGATCTTGGTGGCCATGGTAACAATGTGACATCATTATGTTGAAAGAAGTCTATTATATCTTGTTTTAAAGTTGGATCTGCCAGGGTGTCAAGATAGGGTAAAAGATGGGGTTCTAGAACTTCGTGGATATAACGCTGCGCGTTCATGTTACCTCTGATGAAGATTAAAGGTGACCTGGAACCATAAGCTATAGCACCCCAAACCATAACTCCAACAGTGTGATGAACATGTGTTTCAACAAAAAACTGTGGATTCCTCCTTTCACCACGTCGCCTTCTAACCCTGGCACGACCATCGTGCATGCCTAAACAAAATCGAGACTCGTCACTAAAGACAATATTGTTCCATTCCTGATGCCAGAGTGACCGTTGTCTGCACCACTCAAGGCGATTACGTCGGTGTTCTCGAGTTAAAGGGAGGACCTAGTGTGGTCGGTACGAAAACAAGCCAAAACTTCTCATTCGTCGGTAAACACTTCGCATGCCAATAGGTCTTCCGTGTTCTGCAAACCATTCATTTGCAATGGACCTGGTAGTGGAGAAACGGTCCCTTAAGGCCAATAATCTTGGGCGGCGATCTTCACGGTCTGTTGTTCTACGGCGGCGTCCAGTGCCCCTTGCTCTTTGCGTACGGCCTTCTAGAAGCCATGCCTGTCAACACCTAACCACAGTGCCTACACTTCTTTGCACTCTAACTGCAATTGCCCGAAAAAAAAGTCCAGCTTCCCAAAGTCCCACTATACGGCCCCTATCAAACTCACTAAGTTGACGAAATAGTACAAGGTCTTCGTACTATATATATATATATATATATATATTCATTTTTAGAGCGTTAGTGAATTAAAAAAAAGCAGTATAAAAACCGGAATGTCCAACTGATAAGGCTGAACATTTTTTCACTTGTTATTTACAGTAAGATAAATGCATTCACCAACTTTTATTAAAATAAAACCATTTCAACTGGGTGTTCGAATTTATATGTCACTTAGTATATGTTAATGTCATGAGCCCATTGTTTTTGAAAAAAAAAATGTTTTTTGAGACAGTATTATCTACCTAACTTTTTTGTCACGCCTTGGATGGCTCATGACATGACAATGAACGAGATAATATGGAAATTTGATAAAAAAATCTGCTTGCTCCACCCATTTACCGAACCCAAGGTGTCGAAGTATCCAGCCTGGCTGTCAGATTGTTGAAAATAATCAAATTTCGGAAACCAGCGTATTTTTCGGAATTTGGATATGTTATAGTTACACTTGCAACTTGTAGGGGGCATGGAACCAACAAAATGCCGCTTAGAAAGTATCGAAATTCAAAGTGTTTCCATAAAAAGACGGAAAAACCGAATTTTCCTGAATTTATTTTTAGTGTGATCTTGAAATAAATTGCACGTAAACTTTGCCATCTTTTCTCCTCTAGAAGATGACGTATTTCAATATGTCGTTTCATCTCTGGCCCCCCAGCAACAACTTTATTTTTTCTTATAGACTCCATATTGGATTTTTGGCGCAGACGAATAGAGTTTTTAATTCTGAATTCAAAAACGTATAATATGTCGCACATTGACACTACCAAACCTTAGTTATTCCAGAAAAACAAGTATTCCTAGACAGGCCTTGGCATTATCAGTTAGTGATTTGTTTCGTAGACCTCGAATTGAACAGTAACAGAGTTTGGAATATTGAGAAGGGACATAAATCGAACAGTGAACAATGTTCCTGCAGACACTCTCAATATCTGCTATATTTTACCTCTGCGTATTTATGATTATTGTTGTTATTACCATCAATAACAATTTCTTTTAATTTTGAGGTTTTACAATACCTTTTTATTTCCTTATAATTTCAACAACAAATTCTTGTCCAACTAAGGAAATACACTATCCATCATTCTTATGTACGTATAATGTTATAATTTTATCCAATCTTCATTTATTTTACTCAACTAATTCATTTTTATGTTGAATCCTCTGCATTTTTAGTGGTATATATCTTTTTTATAATGGGTGATTTCTTTGCTAGTATCTTTTTGGCAACACTGTTTTTGACAGATGACACGTGTATTGTGTCATTGTCAAACTTGTTCAGTTTGGTCTATAATTTAACCATGAATCGACGTACGAACGAACAACGCTTGCAAATTATTGAATTTTACTATCAAAATTCATGCTCGGTTAAGAGAGTGCGTCGAGCGCTGCTTCCAATTTATGGGCAATTTGGTCGGCCTACTGAGGGAGCTATTCGGAAGCTTGTGACTAAATTTCGAACCCAGTTTACATTATTGGACATTAAACCACCAACACGCAGATGTAGAGTGAGGACTGAAGAAAATATTGCGGCTGTATCCGCCAGTGTTAGTGATGACCGTGAAATGTCGATTCGCCGTTCGCAGCAATTGGGCCTCTGTTACTCCACTACGTGGAAAATTTTGCGTCAGGATTTGGGTGTAAAACCTTATAAGATACAGCTGGTGCAAGAATAGAAGCCACACGACCTCCCACAACGTTTCCAATTTGGTGAATGGGCGCTGGCAAAGTTGGAGGAAGATCCACATTTTTATCGAAAAATTGTGTTCAGCGACGAAGCTCATTTCTGGTTGAATGGGTACGTTAACAAGCAAAATTGCGGCATCTGGAGTGAAGACCAGCCAGAAGCATCGCAAGAGCTACCAATGCATCCCGAAAAAATCACTGTTTGGTGTGGATTATGGGCCGGTGGCATCATCGGGCCGTGCTTCTTCAAAGACGACAATGGCCGGAACGTAACTGTGAATGGCGAGCGCTACCGTGCGATGATAACAAACTTCTTTTTGCCCAAAATGGAAGAGCTGGACTTGACTGACATGTGGTTTCAACAAGACGGTGCCACATGCTACACCGCACACGAAACAATGGCCCTATTGAAAGGCGAGTTCGGTGAACAGTTTATCTCACGTTTGGGGCCCGTCAATTGGCCGCCTAGATCGTGTGATTTAACGCCGTTGGACTATTTCTTGTGGGGCCATGTTAAGGCTAATGTCTACAGGGATAAACCAGCAACGATTGACGCACTGGAAGCCAATATTGAAGCATTTATTCGTGAGATACCGGCTGATATGTTGTTATTTACATGAAATAATCTTTAAACATTAAATTATATCGACCGTTCTATCGACTCAAATAAAGATTTAATCGTTTTTTCAAGTTTTTTGTGTTTTTTTTGAAAATCAAAACCTATACCTCTTAAAAAATCACCCGTTAGTTTATTTTGTGGATGGACATTTTACGGGTTAAGTGGTAGAATAGCTTATGCTAAACTTCACCCAATAAACATTTTATTATTATTATACATCTGTAAGCTCAGACTGTATCATTACACCAATTAGCTTGTCGATGTTAGTACCTTTTATGTACGAGTCTGAAGAATTATTTTCGTGCCTACTGAATACTTGGTGTATTTATTTGAGCCTGTGTTGCGTCATACCATCTGGTAATAAGTATATTATTATTGAATTACGACTTCATTTCTTATTTAATGAAGTCATTGTTTCGATTTTTTTATATCGTATTTGCTTGGTTGAAACACCTGTAGCTGGAATTTAGGAGGAATTTTTGTGACATTTATGTGTATAGTCGAGGCATATTAGGTGCTTTTAGGTTTTTTCGGGGCATTCTGTTTCTAAACATTTTCTGTCAGCGACACTGCATGGCCGCATCCTCAGCAGATGCCTATCCATCTATACGCAGAGCGTCAAATCCAAAGTCAATGAAGCCGACAGGCGGACTTTAAAGGCATAACATGCAGTGTTCTCGGTATAACTACTCTTTGGTATTATTATATTTCTTTATTTTGCAATTTCTAGGAAATTCTGTATATCTAGTGTTTGATTAAATGCGCAGAGCATTTGGTTCCGTACATTTTATTTTTAATTTTAATTTCTCCGGTTTCTGCAGGTATATAAATATTCCTCCTCTGCAACTGCATGCGCGGTTAATTTTCTCGGAATAATCCGGTTGCTTGTATGTTATGCATAGTTAGTATGTATATAGTAGCGAGTTTTGATTAAAGTCACGTGCGGAAGTCTCAAATAAGGCAGCTCTCACGTTATTGTAAATATACTAAGTGACATATAAATCCGAACACCCAGTTTAAATGGTTTTATTTTAATAAAAGTTGGTGAATGTATTTATCTTACTGTAAATAACTAGTGAAAAAATTTTCAGCCTTATCAGTTGGACATTCCGGTTTTTATACTGCTTTTTTTTTAATTCACTAACGCTCTAA